TATGACAATATTTAAATATAATATAATATTATCCTAGACTGACAAATCATCTCCGATCAGAATCGTTTTTCGTATACAATGATACCTATCATTGCATTCAAATCTAACCTACCCTAGTCAGAGGTCCACCCCACCACCTAATGTATATACAGCAGAGCGATACCCACTTTCCCGCTTTTTTTTTCCTTTATTATACATCGAATCATTATTAATAGGTAATTGTTTTTCTTATAGCTTTCCTTCAAATACGCAAACAAACATTAAAACAATTATTATTATTACTATTATAACTTTTAGTTCGCATTGACAATCCCAGTCGTTGGAACAGTGCGAATAACAATAATCGAGTACGTCCGGCGAAATCGCACTATGGCCAGAAAAACTGGTAATGCCGAGTGGAGTGTGATAAAAACAAGAAGTTGTCAACCATAATATTTCGCAAACGTAAGTTTCAGAAAACGAAATGAAATAGTTACGTGGCAAGTAGTAAGAGTACCTATAAGTGACACAAACAATGCTATAATAATATAATATGTACWATGTACATTGTACATCTGTAATTTTAAAATATATGTATACTAGCCACTAGGTATTGTAATGATATGGCTCACATATCATAATTGTATGTTGTTAAACTATTCAATCAGATAAATAACGGTCAAGTTGTCGCACGGAAATAACAAATAATTCGCAGCTGCGAGTCAGGCAAGGCATTAATATAATATTTGATATTGATTGTGATAATTTAACTATAAGCATATTTTGAATGCAATTGTATTGTACGGTATGTTTGATTTAAATTCTCGATTCACGACCTCGAGAACCCTCCAACGATCTGGAGGAAGGTAAAAGCGCAATTTTAATATATACTTCTGGTATTATTTTCCAGCATTTAAGTGTAGGGAACGRCAACTTATAACCCATAACATTAACTCACCCAATCATTATAATTTTAATATAAATAATAGCAGGAGCCTTATTTTTAYTTATTTATAATTATATTGATTTATTCTTTTTTTGTTTTAATTTAATTTTCTATTTTTRCGTTATTATTGAATGTACAAGTCGACTGTTAAATATATTTTTCACTCGTGTTCCGAATCAAAGTATACCGTAGGTGCCATACTTCATTTACGAATACGCTGCTCAATTTCTGTTAGCATATATAATACTATACGTTATAGTTGTTTAGAAAAATTTATAATTGACGGACTTTGTTTTATTTTGTTTTTAGTACAGTCGTTTTAATTAAATTTAATATACGTTCATAATGAAAACTTTGGTAATTATAATAAAAACTTTATGGCTCCATCGTAGTTAAACGTAGCAATTTCAAAGTTAATGAAAAAAAAAACGTGGAGAAAAACTATGTTGTTTTTTCTATTTATTGTTTAGTTTCATCTGTACGTTAAACGTTCATATTGTACAGTGGCGTATACTATTGTAGTGTAAACATCACTATATGTATAATACAGTGCAATTTTATTATAGTATATATTTTAATATATTTTTCTGACAAAGAATAACAAATTATAGAACTTGAAATTATTAATGAAAACGGCCATTAAATATTGTATTCATTCGGACTTTGTCAAAAGTTTCATAAAGTCACAAATAAATAATTATACTCGTAGACAGGTTATGATTTTTAATGTGATCGGTATATATTGKCGTATGAAAAGAATTCTTTATGCTAAGCAGTCAATTGTGATGATATAAATAAGCATTTCACAAAGAAACATTAAAGATGTTTCAATATTAATTACAAAAAAAAAAATGATTTTTTTTAAGCAGATTTATAATTTATATAATTACTACTTAACTCACAATAGTAMAATATATTTCTTTTGACACAAAATACCCATGACACGAGATGAGATTTAAGTTCACACACCTAGGTGTTGAAAAATGCTTAAAATAAGTTATATAAAAACATTTGTTTATTATAAATAGGTTATATTATATAATATATTTAAATTGTGTTTATTAGGAACCAAATGAAAATTTAATTTTAAATTTAATATAATAATAATTAATAACAAATTAAGAATAAGAATTTATATAATATATAATAGAGTATTCCAATTTAAAAGTATACTATTAATATAGTAACATAGTGTCCACTTAAATCACATTTCTATATCCTATAATATTCAATTATTCCAAGTAACTAATAGGTATTTACCAAGCTTATAATACATAAGTAATATTACGCATAATGAGAAATTTATCTATACTTAAAAATAATGCTCTAAATTTTTATATGAATTTTTAATTTTTTTAACAAGTAGGTATAATTATAATATTGCAATGATTTATATTTATTATAGAATTGAACTTTCAAAATATAACACAAACTCAATGCAGATTTCTCTACGTTATAAAGGCCTACAAAAAAGGTTAGCTAGTATTCATTGATTCATTTATAAACCCATTCCAAAAAAATAATAATCAATCAATAAGTAGTAAAAATGTATTCCTGGTTTTCAAAAAAAATGTATTTAACGTACGCACCTACATACTATTTACATATTTCTTTAAAAATCATTGTATCGAATAATATAGAATATTCAAAAAATGTCTTAATTTATAAAACAATTTATCTATTTTATGATAGCCGATGATAGGTGTACAAATACAATATACATTCTTAATTAATTTAAGTATATTAAAATAATAAACTAAAATCGAGAAAAAATAAAAGAATTTAATCGTGATTTCACTAACATGAATAATAATTTTTTTTTTTAAATTTTAAATAACATTTCTTTCAAAATTCTTAGATAAAAAGTTAAAGTACAAAAGTGGTATGCATAAATATATATTTTAATTCAAGWAGACAAACTTAACAATATTCACAGATTCAGCTAAACATTTTTCCATTTCAAGGTTTTTTTTTATCAAGGTTCGCATAATGCATGAGTGAAAATCATTTTTCAGGAATTGAATATTATTGTTCGAAATCGGGTTGTGAAACAAATTTATAGTACGAACCGGCCTTAAGAGTTTTTCCGCCGTTGCCAGCCGAAGAGAAAATCGCAACGAAGTAATATAGCACGTCGAGTCGATCAGCAATTAAAAATGTTTCACAATACTCACTGTTACTAACTGATGATGCGTAACGGATATTCGAAGTCTAGCTTTCTATTATCAACTATCAAGGAAGGATTTTTATTTTAAAGAACAGATAAAAATATTACACTGCCGAGTGTTAACTATTTAACGGTTTTTCAGATTTCTGTACGTTAGATATGCGCTGTATACTCTCGTGAACTGCAAGCAGCATGTCGCGATAACAGAATATTTTTATCGACGACACATCATATATGGCAAAA